ATACGACATATAGTACATACATGAGAAAATAAAGGAAATGCTCTGCATACGTGAAATACAATATTTCAAGTAATATAAAGTCATCTCCGCGTACTTTTGACAAGTCGTCGTATCCTTCGTATTAATATGAATGAATACCCTTTACTTATCCTGTTTCGCGGAAGGAAGTTTGTTGAGTAGTAGTGCTGAACTTTCGATCGATTGTACAGGACGCATACGACAGAAATAGAACGGAATAAGGCAATTATTCCACACAGAATGGACAAAAGAGACATGAACATAGGTGGATTTGTATTATGTACGAGCCGTTTGAAAAGACGAATGCTTTTCTTGTAAAATTTGTAATGTAAATGATGTAAATGATGAAGAGATGATGAGAAGAAATTTGGATGGGTTGAGAATAAAAAAGATTGTCATTGATGTAGAGAGTAAAAACTTGACGCAAAATTATTAGTAGAGGAAAGCTCCCTATTATCAGATAGGCGCCTAATATGAGATAGCGGCGTTTCTGCTAAACTAATGAACGCTATCTATTGGTTCGACCATGAATTTATTGCTCTTGAATTGAAAACTATTTAGTAGAAAATTCATTATTAGATCATGCCTGTATAGTCATTGTAAAACAAGATTTTAGAATTTGGATGTCTTCAAGTTTCATTGAGATGAGCTTTTAAACCTTGTTTATTATTTAATAAATAAATATTTAGTAATAAATTCTTCATATAGTGATAGAGTAAGGTTATACTAATAGAAAAATACGGGATATGTTGAATTGTTTAATTACAGAAGTAAGATTTGATGATCGTAAAACAAAGCGTGAAAATCGTAATGAGATACTCAGAGTATTTCTAATATGAAATAATGCTCCATGCTCCTATATTATAGTGAAAATCGTTGCTAAAGTATAAATGTTATGGTACAATAATAAAAAAGACAACCGGAATAAACATCGAGTGCCTATTTCTACGACGTTTGATTGCAACTACCTGAAGACGAGTTCTAGGTATAATCTATCGCATGCACATTTTTCGCGTACGCTGGCTGTGTTTATTTGTATTTTAGTAACATTAAATAAAATTTTTTAATTGCAATACTGATATACTTTGCGTTTTTTTTTATTATCGATTTCTCGGGATATCTCATATTAGCAGCACAATTTTATGACTTTGCGATTTGCTCACTTTTTACATTTCTTTAATTTAAAAAAAAATGGAATTTGAATTAAATTTTATATAACGTTATTTTAAAGCTTATTAAATTCCCTTCAAAATGACCCATTATTTTTTTAAATTCTGCCTATAGACTTTTAGCATTTATCCAAAATAAACTCGGTACCTTATAATAGCGGCCTTTACTCTATTGTTCTGTAAGCGTTAAGAAAAATGTAATGAAAATTAAGTTCAAGACGCGTTACTCTTAATGAATTTTGATCTCTTTAACGCCGCAGAGCATGAAATATTTACAATGTGCAACTTGGTTTTTAAGCATCTGAGATGATTCGCGATCACTCGTATCTTGTTTCGATGATGACAAAGCGATAATTAGCAACGCTAAACGCTATCTTGCGTCATTGATCACATATATGATGCGAGTGCGCATTCGCTGTTCTTTTCGCTATATCCCGCAAGGTCATTGTAGATTAATTTTGTTTGGATGAAATTTTTAAATAATGGAGTCGAAAACATTTTAATTCGAGGAAACGGTATCGAAAGGAAGTTTCTTTCAGACAAGGAGTTATAATATGTTATAAGAGTTATAATTTCTGAGTGCACAAGGCATACCGGTTTTTCACGCGTCGTCAGCGGCCTTCCTGCCGTGAGACCGGATGCACACCGCGATAAGTACAAAAGGAACGTTACTATACCTTACAGACAATACTACTCAGGGCCGACTAACATAAGTTATCGTCCTTGTTGTTATCACGGCGATCCATTAACGAGGCTGATCGGTGAACGATGTTAATGCACGACCGCTTCCGGTCGACCCTTCCTTCCTCTTTCCTTTCTATAGAAACGATTCTATACAGAAAGAGATTTCAACGTAGATACACTATGTCTATACATGTCTATATAATTGTCAACTTTGGAATTTCTTCCGTCAGTTCGAAATATACTAAATATAGTTTGAAAATGGAACATCGAATGGCTAACTCGCAAATCTTTTCGTATCGACAGATAATTCGCAATAATGCGACCGTATAATGTATCATTTCATTTCCTAAAACGTATTCCTACCTATTTGCAATACTTGCAATGTTGCGAATAAATGCATCGCGTATACAATATGAATATTCCGGCACCTTTCGAATTTCTATAAAATTCGATTCTATTTATTTATGTAAAAAAAAAAAAAAATTGAAAAACGTGAAAGGAGACATCGGAATTCAAAAGATATTGCGGATAATTCGCATTCGTCGCTCGCAATCACTCGTATAAGCGTACACAATAATCGTTACGCGACGCTACGTGCTTGTTAACACTTTTAACGCGTTAACGTTAAAAGTGTCTTTAACTCAAAGCTTGTTGGACATGCTCGCGAAACTCTGAAAGAGATACGATCCTGCTTACCGGTATTTACGGAATGTACGTTGAACTGAGGCACATGGTGGGAAACAGGCGGACAGTGTCGACCTGTCGACCGGTATTCGAATAAAGCAGGAAGTCGCTGTTGCACAGCGAAAGAAACCATGCGCATAGTCTACAACATCGCGTCGTTTGGATTATTATATAATATTATGTATTTCGATAATATACGTTTTCCAGTCGAGAATTTCGAATCGTTGAATTTTTCGTAATCCATAAGAATTGTATAATAGGATGGTCTTTCTTTACTGTTGAAGAACAATTTTTTTCGAATTCTTTCCGCGACACCCCTCAAAATTCCAATTCACAAAAAAATAATTCCTGTCAAATTTCAGCTCGATGGGACAACGGGAATCCGTGCCGATAGCTCGTTCTCAAACATTTGAATTTTCCTTATATTACACTCTCAACATTGATTTTTAAGAGATTTTTCCACGAAATAATTTCAGTCTAGACGACTTTTTTTATTTTTTTTTTTAACATGTGTGTTTTGATTTTTTGCATCGTTTTGAGACCTTATATCTCATTCAAACAATTAGGAGTATTGTTAATGATTAAAAAATAAAAATAAATAAATAGTATAACTCTGGTATATACGCTGATGGGTCTTTCTTTTTTGACATTTGATTATTTTTCTTCTATTACCACCTAAAATTGTGTTCCAATGTATATGTATATATAGATAAATAATAAAATACATATAAAAGAAAAGCTCAATTAACATATGAACATATAAATTATAAGTAAAGGGATTACAAACCAAATATACGAGATAGATAACACTTATAAAATTTTAGATTATAACAATAGGAATTGTGCTGATTAACGAATGAAAGTCTATCTGAAAAATATACTTTTTTTAAATTCTTTTATTGATTTTTTTATAATTTATGTATTATAAAATACAACGATAATATAAAAATACGTTAGTATATAAATAACTTAGTTGTAAAATTAATTTTCTAACAATTGCAATTGGTTTCAAAAGAGTTTCTTTTTTAGCATTTGGAAACTGTTTGCGATAGTCGCTAACAACTTTTAATACAAATTGTCTTTGTTCCTGATCCGTTGTTATAATATAATATTACTGTAATCGGTAATTAGCCTTATTCTCCGTTCTGCTGTGTCATTAACAATTTTTAAGTTCTTAATAATATGGAATCCTTTTTTAAAATGTTCGTTTGTAGACCAGGTTGAAGGACCAGTTTGTAAAAAATCGGGGTTCCTTCAAGTAATCAAGGGACGGCCTTCAGTAATCAATACATCACTTTATAATGTGTGTGTGTATATATATATATATATATACATACATTGAGACACAATTTTAAGTGATCCTAAGAAAAATAATCAAATATCAAAAGAGAAAGACCCATCGGCGTTATATAGAGTTATACTACTTATTTATTTTTATTTTTTAATCATTAACAATTCACCTAATTGTTTAAATGAAACTTATAAAATCTCAAACGATGCAAAAAAGCAAAATACATTGTTAAAAAAAAATGAAAAGTTCTCTAGGCTAATTTTTGTGGAAAATACGCTTAAAAATCAATGTTGAGAGTATAATGAAAAGGAACTCAAATGTTTAACGAGCTGTCGGCACAGGTTTCCGTTGTCCGATCGAGCTGAAATTTGACAGAAATTATTTTTTTGTTAATTGGAACTATTTTGAGGGGTGCCCCGGAAAAAATTCGAATGTCGAAAAAAATGGATCACTCTATTGTATAACTGATATTGCTAAAATATTGAAAATGTTTGAAAATATAATAATAAAAGTTTAATTTGACAATCATTCTGTACGATTTGTTTTTTAGCAATTAAAAGATGAATTGGGCGAAGTTGTGGCAGAAATGGAGGCGATGGAGGGCGGCGGACTTACGGCCGACGAGACTAAACCGTCCAACAAAACTAAGCAGACGTCGATCGGTCGGAAAAAGTTCAATATGGATCCTAAGAAGGGTATCGAGTACCTGATAGAGCACAACCTCTTAACACCGACGCCCGAGGACGTTGCTCAGTTTCTCTACAAGGGCGAGGGCCTTAATAAAACTGCGATCGGTGACTATCTCGGTGAACGACATGACTTCAATGAACGCGTGCTGCGAGCCTTCGTCGAGTTGCACGACTTTACCGATCTCATATTGGTACAAGCCCTACGTCAATTTCTCTGGTCGTTCCGACTGCCCGGCGAAGCACAAAAAATCGATCGCATGATGGAGTGTTTCGCTCAAAGGTACTGCCAGCTAAACCCAAATATCTTCACCAATACGGATACTTGCTACGTGCTGAGCTTCGCCATCATCATGTTGAATACTTCATTGCACAATCCGAGCGTTAAAGATAAGCCCAGCGTAGATCAATTTATTTCGATGAATCGAGGAATTAACAATGGTGGTGATCTGCCGCGGGAACTGCTTGTGGTAAGTACTTTTGGGGAAGACTAGAGATGTTTTTCATTTGGTGACACAATTATCTAATAATTATTAATTCTTTATTACGCATTGAATGCTAAGAAAGATAGAATGATATTTGGGTCGAATTTGGTCGTTCAATGGAGAGAGAAAGCTATTTTTTCTAAGATATATTTTTTCTCTCGTCTTTCAGTCGAAAATTTTTGTAACACACACATTTGTGCTTAATCAAATATATTTCTATCTATTTATAGAGTTTATACGAGAGTATAAAAACCGAGCCTTTCAAAATACCAGAAGACGATGGCAACGACTTGATGCACACCTTCTTCAATCCTGATAAAGAAGGCTGGTTGTGGAAACAAGGTAATGACTACTTATATTCGACATGACTTTTCTAGTTTGACTGCATTCCGACGGTTTTCGTTTTATTTTCGGACGCTCGTATAAAGACTTGAAATAAATTTTGCGTATCATGCAGATTTGTGTGTGCGTGCGTGCGTGCGTGCGTGCGTGCGTGCGTGCGTGCGTGCGTGCGTGCGTGCG